TCTCAGTGGGCCCAACCTTGGTGTGACTTGGCACTTGGAGAAAGACGCGGACCGTCATTCAGGAGAAAGGCCACAACTTATGAGTTGTGTGCCGCATATTTTTCTACGGCGGTCATTTTCTTCTGATTGGAATATTACCCGAATTTCTTGAGTGGGTCGGACCAAATGTCACTCAAGGTCAGTTGATTTATTCAAGCTTTCCTTTACACCTGTGTGAACCCACACTTGCTTGACCCTGTTCATTGAATATTCATTGAAAAGGCAAAGGAATGTGTGTTCGCGTGTGAATGGTGAGGTCTGACTCGAGTATAGGATTGCACTGATTTTCTCTTGAACTCGTTGTTTTTGTGTGTTGTGCAGGTAGGTAGAAGGATGCTTGCAAATGAGATTGATTATGCCTAATTGAGAAAAGGAAAAATGATTATCTTCCTTTTATTTCTCACCTGCCTGCATGCCAAAAATGATTCGTTGTTTTGAAAAACGTTAATTTTGTGTGTACCATAGAATGAATTCGATTGAAATATGGCAGATAAGGTCAGATGGACTTAGCCTTACCCAAGGATTGACCCTTTCTATCGTGAATGACTTTATCTACCTTTACCTGTCAAAATAATTCTCATTCTCCATCACCTCTGACTCTTTTTTGTCTAAATTACCTTAGGCAGGAGAGGATGAGAACAACTAAAAATTTACTTGTGGTGGACGCTTTCTCTCTTTCAAGGAAGCATCTGGGTCGGGGGTTCGTTGCTTGAGGAGTCGACTCTGTTATCGACCCAGAGTGGATCGTTCTACGGGGGGGTACTTTGCCGATTCGGTGGAGACGGTCCGACTTCTTAGATCCGAGTTTTGTGCTCGGGTGAGGAGGAGGAGTATCCCAGACCACTTCCTAGAAGGAAAGATATGCAACACCTCAAGCAATGCCCCTGGTGAAGAATCATTCGTAAAGAAGCTTGATGTCTAAAAGATTGAAAACGGATGAAGACTGGTATGTGCGTCGAATCTCAGGTCGGCAGTAGGCTGGAATGAAAGACTTTGGCAACATGTCTCATTAAGTCAAGACTAAGGCAGCCGAACACCTTGTCAGTTGCATCTATACTATTCTCGATAGCCAACTTCTTGTTTGGCGGTTGCATGATTGTTTTGTGATATTCGACCTGAGGCGGTCGGATTGTTTTTAACCTTGTGGTGTTGAATGTATCCAATAATGATTTGGATGCTCCCAGTTATTATTTTGGATTGGATGTACATTATTATCGATTGCGGTAAACTCTTTTGTTGTAATTATGTATGGTTGTTATAAATTTTGTTTGACTGTGTGTCTCAGGGACTAGGATCGAGTTGGGTTTCACGCTTGGTTAAGACCGTCCTAGTTGACAGATGTCTGCTTCGTACTTAGGAGATCAGCGCCTTAAGGGACGGGCGACGTTCGGGTTTGTTTGGCGTTAACCAAGCGTACCTATACTACAACGAACGAGCAAACGTCATCGACTGACCTACCTCTGCAATTGCATTTAAAAGCTTTCGCACGTGGGTCAGTAGCGCGGTAAGGATACGCTCCTAAGGGTGGTGACAGCCCCTTAGGGGAGGAAAGATTATGCCCCGCGGGAACCTATCCTATCGTAGGGGACTGTGGGATGTACAGCTGGCGCACCCGGCTAGAGCGGCGAAGGAGCGACGCGACTGTGACCGTCTTGACGGTTTGTGGGATTATTTTGCATCATTCCCAAGTTGTCTCTCATTTTCGTTTTGTTTGAACTCCAGCGTGACATGGTCGGGAGGATTTCGCTTCACAAAAAAAAAGGGCGGGAGCCGATGCGCTCGACACCGGGGCCCCGAGGCGGGGGCTCGACAACCCTGACGGTGACGGCCATTTCCTACAGCGCGTTGTCAGGGAATGGTATCCCCGCTGAATTGCAGGCCGCCTCACTAGCTGTTCTAATTACCGACAAAATCTTCAGTGGGGATGCTGATTTAGACTCCAGGGCCTATGCAATAGACCTGGAGAGATACTACAGAGACGAGTACACTAAAGAGGAGATGGAAGACTGGATTGAGTCGGACCCCGAAGCCAAGATGGATAGCTTCCCTGCCAAAGAAATTAGTGGCAACATTGGGGAGTATAGGCTGGATGAGTCTGTGCCCGACACCCAATCCTTTATGGTCACCACACAAATCCGACCATGGTAATGCTTACAAGAGAGGTCAATACAAAAGGGCGAAAGGTGGACTGGAAAACACAAGGTTTAATCATTCGTAGCTGGAACGTCAATGGCCTTGGAAATATTACCAATAAAGAATATAAAATAAATGACATAACTAAAGGACTGAAAGACCAATTAAAAAATTCGGCAGACATTATTTTTTTACGAAAAACTCACCTCACTAACTCAGAAGACCATCAGAAAATCAAAAGATACTTCACAAGGAAATTAGGCGGCGTTAAGGACGAGGTGTGGGCCCCGGACAACACATCTAGCACGAAAGGTACTGCGATTCTCATTTCAAAATCTTCCTATTTCTACTCGGTCGGCTCAGTACAAGGGAGAGAAGCGAACAATGAGTCAGGCAGATCGTGCCTCATGGACTTGAAATGGAAGGAGGAAAAATTCAGAATCATCAACGTCTACACACCAAATAATCCATCAGAAAGAGCGGAATTCACACTAACTGTGGGACAACTAGTAACACCACTCTCGGCCTGCATCTTAGGAGGGGACAATAATGCTACCTCAGACCCGAACAATGATCGTATCTCTCGGGCAACCTCCACTCAAGCTTCACATGAAGCGGCTCCTATCCACAAACTTATGATAGACCACAACTTAGTAGATCCATTCCGTACCCTGTACCCGGGCAGAAAAACTTTCTCCGTGGTCAAGAAGAACCATGCACTCCATATGGTCTTCTCCCGGATTGATGACTTCCTCGTCTCTAAATGCTTAATGGGAACTGTTAAAGATGTTGATATCTTGTCTCTTGCATCATAGCCCGGACTAGACGACAAGCTTATAGAGCTGATATTCAACTTTGATCAATACATAACTAGAGGAACCAATTTCCACAAGCTTAATAACTCTTTCCTCCTAAGCCAGACTTTTCAAGAAAGTGTTGTTGAGTGCTGGCAAAACTCAAAGGGTGTCTTTCTAGAAGGCCAAGATAGATGGGAGTGGTTCCAAGACAGCTATCTCTCTCTATCCCAATCGGTGGCCCGTATCTCTAGGAAACTAGCGAATAAACGGAAGCGAAGAAAACAAATCATTGAAACAACACTCAAAATCGTTGAGTTAAACTTGATAAACAACATGTCTTCGTCGATCCACTCCTTAGCCTTCGAAAAAACTCGAGAAGAGCTTGCACTATGGAGACAATAAAAACTCAAAGGACTTCAGCTCAGGGTAAGGATGAATGAATATGAACTAAAGGAATCAATGACAAAAATACTTTTTTGCAAGGGTAAAGGCCAACAATAGATCAAATTTTATAGAAGGCCTCAAACAGATGGCGGATAACCAGGCCACAAGAACAAACAGCGAAGGAATGTTGAAAATAGCCAAGGAATTCTACCAAGAACGGTACCAGACCAAAACCTCCTCTCCTACCCCGACCCCCGTAAGGGAAGCAAGAGCGAAAAATGCTCCAATTCCTAGACAGAACGATACCCCAAGACCAGGTAGATGTACTCGACAAACCAATTATCTTAGTGGAATTGCAAACTGCGGTTCAGAGCATGAATAATGACAAGACCCCAGGCATTGACGGACTGACTAGGGAGTTCTGGGAGAAAGTTATGGCCTATGATGGGAAGCGAGTTGCTGCGCTTCTACCAAGACAGTTGGGAAAAAGGAGGATTGGGTAAGTTGTTGAGTAGCAGTGTAGTGACGCTGTCGGGGCAGAAACCCTGACAAGGGTATCTTCCCGGTGTTTTCAAATGTCGGACGATGTTCGACTTAGTAAAGGGTTATCCGGGCTTCATAACTTATTTGCCATAAGTTTATTCAGACTCGACTTATGATTAAGAGACTAAGGGGCTCGTTCGACACTCCTCGGGCGCGTAAAATCGCCGAGGAAATCATGGTTCCACTTATCCTCGAGGAAGAAAATGAAAAAAAAATGTGAAAACATTTCCTCGGGGATTCCTTGGGGATTCCTCGGGCTACAGCCATTTGGACGTGTTCCCCAAGGGTCCTCCCGAGGTCCCTTGGAGGTCGAGCATCCGGAAGAATCGGGGCGTCGAGGGCAGCTCTCTCGACGACAAACTTCGACGCGGCTGGTCCATTGTTGTTCCTGGCGGCCCGTGGACGAACATCTCCTATTGGCAACGGTCGACATCATGGAATACTCCGCCAACAGTCCCCTTTGGCGGCCTGCCGTCCTCTGCGACGTCGAAAGGGGCTGCCTTGCGTCGCTGCCCTTCAGCACGAGCGGGAAAGCGCCCAACGGTCGGCAGATTCGAACACTTCAGCCGGTCCCCGCTCTCCCGATTGCGCAGTGTCTTCCGCTACGGAATACGTTACCCTGCTTTTGTCGGTAGTTGCGATCGACCGTTTGCACCACTGACCCTCGCCATTTCCTGGACGTCAACGGTTGTCTTGTAACTGTTGTTGTCGTCCACGTGCGTTTCATGGCCGACGTCTTTCGGAGGCTGCCGCTGCTGGTGTTGGTCGTCCTCCTGCCCCTCCTCTTACTTATCTTCCACGTGTGCATCCTCGACATCGTTCCACGACGTGGCCGCAGAAGACGGTCTTCGAAGAAGGGTGTCTGTATGGAGGGGCGCCATGGGATGTGCAGGTCTGCAGGGGATCAGGGTGGTGGCCAGCGGGCTGGGCAGAGCCCGTCGAGAAGTTCAAGGCCGTCAGAGCGGTCTGGGTATGTGCACATGCCACCGCACTTGCAACCTTTGCTGGACACGTCCAACGAGGAGGCGGAGGACAGGCGGTCACGGACCGTGCCGCTAGGAAGCGGGTCCACCCAGGAGTAGGCAGCTACGGAGCTCTGTGGAAGCCGCGACGACGGTAATGGGCAGTCGTACACCAAACTCCTCCGGCAGGGTATGAGTGGCGACGAAGGCGATGGCGGCGTGAATCTATCGTTCGAGCTGTGTAGCAGGAGGTCGTCGGCCGCCTCGCGAATGGTCATCATCAACAACCATCCCGACGACGACGGTGGGCAAGTGATGGTTGTTGCGAGGTCATCAAAGTCTCCAACGTCGGTCCGAGAGGCGTCGGGGAACAACAGGGATCCTCCGAGGCAGCAATATCAGTCGTCGTCTGTGTCGAGGGGTGCCTCGGCTCACCTCCTGTGGATGCAGTCTCCGTCTCCCCTGTCCGCCAGTTCGACTGCCGCCCGCCGTCGAGGCGAATGCGGGGAGACGGATTGTGGCATCGCCGATGTTGGTGATGCACGCGGAGGGAGGGAGGTGTGGGCAGAACAGCGACGGACACTTCATCCACGGCGGGAGGAATCCATAACTCTAGGGGTGCAGCGACTGCATGTGGGGGAGGAGGAAAACGACTGCGATGCACCTCCGGTGGGCGCGAACGATCAGGAGTGGAACGACGACGACGGCGAAGGTTGGGAGGACGACGCAGGCTACGTATCGTCGTTCAAGCAAAGCAGCACGGGAGGGAGGGGCGGGAAGACGAGGGCGTGTGCCCGCAATGATCATTGGGGAAAAAGGCGGCGGGGAACGGGAGCGATGTCAAAGATGACGATGATGCGGAAGGAGGTCGTCACTTTTGGTCCGTCGACGACATAATAGCCCTCATCCGGGCTAAACGTGACTAGTACGCGCATCTGCAGGGATGGGTACCACGTACGCTCGTATGAAGCCGTGAAAATGGAAGTGGTTGGATGTGGTGCAGAGGTTGAAGAAGGTGGGCGTCGACAGAGAAGCAAAACGGTGCGGGAAGAAGTGGGACAATTTGATGCAGCAGTTCAAGAAGGTGCATCACTTCCAAGGTTTGTCTGGGAAACAGGACTTCTTCCAATTCTCTGGGAAAGAGAGGTTGTCGAAGGGCTTCAATTTCAACATGGATCGTGCGGTTTACGACGAGATACTGGGGTCGACTGCCAAGAGTCACACCATAAACCCGAAGAACATCGCCGACACTGGTGCTCCGGGTGGCGTGCGTCTGTCGTCCGCCACTTCTGCGGATCCTAAATCTGTGGGCGATTGGGACGGTCGTGCAGGGCACGACGACAACGAGGACGGGTCGACGAGAGGTTCTTCTCAAACGACGGGAAGCCCAACCAGTTTCGGCAAGAGGAAGAGCACGAGGCAACAAACTTTCGACGCGCTGACGGAATGCATGGAGAAGCACGGGGCTCTGGTGCCGTTGACGATGAAGAGCAACAGCAAGCGGCAGTGCTCCATCCAAATCCGGCAGTGCGAGGCGTTGGAAGCGGAGGTCGAAGTGCAGAAAAAACACTACGCAAGTCGGAACTTGTATACCACCCACTATCTGCAGGGTGCAGAAGAGGGTGTGGTGATCAACCGCCTTGGCGATTGTCTAGCGTCGAGGGTTTAACCCCTCAAGGCGAGTGTCAGTCGACACTTGAATGTCGAAACGTGACCCCCGAAATTATCGAGGGTCGCACGATTGTGGGTACCACATAGTACTCCATCGTTGTGACTGCGTGCGTATGCTTGCATTGCTGGTCGATATGAGAAAGGCCTAGCGCCCATGCGGTTTTATCTTGAGTCTCGTGCACGACGCTTAACCGATTATCGTGTTAAAAGGTTATGAGTCAGACATTGAAGAGACTAGGAGAGTTTTTTTTTTGTGTGAGTATTTTAATTTTATTGTGGTGTAACGCGTGGTGAGTGGATTGCGTCCTAGTCGACCGACGACGAGTCCTGCTTGGGACCTCGGCCCCCTAATGCGTCGATTCACGTACAGGTCCGATTGAGGGGCGTTGACCGCGCGTACCCCCAATGCTACAACGAACGAGAAACGCCCTCGGCTGGGTCACCTCTGCGATTACATACGGAAATCTTTCGCAAGTGGTTCGGTAGCTCGGCGAGGATACGCCCACTCAAGGGATGGTAACAACTCCCGCGGGTGGAGGTAAGACGTGCCTCGCGTGACCCTATCCTGTCGTAGGGGTTCGCGAGAGGTACGGCTGGCGCACTCGGCCAAAATGGCAACCCGCACTCTACGACAGAATCCTGCAAAATCCTGTGTGACGCGGCCAGGAGGGTCCCCCTGTGGGACCGATGCGCTCGACAGCGCTGCGAAAATTTTCTTAGTTTAAAGGAGTTAGATTATATTTTGACAGGTGGCAGTTTTGGCGATCCACCCTACATAGTGGAGATTTTGTCAAGGTCTACCTTTCTTTGGGCACTAGCCTAGAGGTAGATTTAAACTTAATTATCAGGAGAATTTTGAGTGAGAATGTGCTAAGGAGACTCCCCATAAACTGATGGTCTATCTTTGGGCATTGGCCTGTTTTGTTTCACAGACCTTCTTTAGACATTTCGATTCAGGATTAGGACTAGATTCAGCTTGATCTCACGAGGATCATCCTCTATTATCACTAATAACAAGTCAGTTGTCGATTCGTCGGATTACGACTCAACTCCAATTCGCTTTTGCCAACTCAACCTAATCGTTGGGTTTCCACCTATACTTTATTGAATGGTCATTTAACAAAGATGTTGAGTACTTTATAATGGAAGGTTGGACAAAGGTTGAGGTTTGTATGGCTAAAGCGAGGGGTGTGAGTGCAGAGAGTGTTTGAAGTTGACCCCGTGTAGTGTGTGGACTTCGGCTGAATCTTTGATGTGATTGTAGATATGTTTATGGTTCAGACTCTGAAATTGATTGTCTGCAATTGCACATATATGGTTGAAGGGAGTCCCACTGTGATTGTGAGAAGTGATCGTCTCGTATTTATAACCCCTTTTTTTATGTACCTTGAGTGTTCATGCGGCCTACTGCGACCGTTCGTAAGGCTTAAACAAATCACGTTTTGAGAGAGAATGGAGATTCTCTTTTTACTCCTTTGATTTTTAGAATTATTATAGTTAGACGTTGGGATCTGTGGTAATCGTCAAAGTCAAACCCATTGATTTTTCTCCAGGTCCTGGATGATGAAGCTGGCCTCCAAGGCCACGAGTGTTGACTGCCACCATAGGCACATGTGTACCACCCACTTTTCATAGAGTGTCGAAGAGGGTGTGGTTCTCAACCACCTTGGCGGTCGTCTAGCGTCGAGAGATTAACCCCTCAAGGCGCGTGTCCGCCGACACTTGAGTATCGAACGTGACGCTCGAGACTATCGAGGACCGCGTGATATGGGTACTACATAGTACTTCATCATTGCAACTGCTTGCGTATGCTTGTATTGCTAGTCGATGTGAGAAAGCACCACGTCCACACGGTTTTATCTTGAGTCTCGCGCGCGACACCTAACCGATTTCTGTATTAAACGGTTATGGGTCGGATACTAAAGGGACAAGGAGTGTTTTGTTTGTGTGTGTATTTAATTTTTATGTTTTTAACGTGGTGTAACACGTGGTGAGTGGGATGCGTCCTAGTCGATCGATCACGAGTCACGCTTGGGACTTCAGTTCCCCAATGTGTCGGTTCGCGTGAGGGTCCGATAGAGGTGTGGGATCGCACGTACCCCCCATGCTACAATGTACGAGAAACGTCCTCGATCGGCCCACCTCTGCGATTGCAGCTGATTAGCTTTCGTACTTTAGACTGGTAACTCGGCGAGGGTACGCCCACCGAAGGAGGTGACAGCTCCCTTAGGTGGAGGTAAGTTGTACCTTGTGTAGGGCCTATCCTGTCATAGGGGCTCACAAGAGATATGGCTGGCGCACTGGGTCGGAGCGGCTACGGAAGCTCCATTTGTACCGCGAATAAATGATGAAGAGTCTTTGCCATGAAGCCTACGTGACACGACCGGGAGGATCCCCCTATGGGACCGATGCGCTCGACAACGTCCCTCAGTATTCTTTTATACTCTTTCATCTTTTCAAACACTCTAATCTCTCATTCATCTGCTTTATCTCGATAGAGAGTGCAGGGCATAACGAGAATACTTATGTTTGTTATGTCCTCCTTCTCTTTCTCTTATTCGTGATAGCTAAGATAACAGAAGAAACTTTGTGTTGAGATTTAGGAGCGGAGAGCGTTGAGTTACAACACATTTGTCTAGAACATATTACTACTGGTAAGCCTTTCTCTGATTAAGCACTTGCTACGGTTACAATGAGTGAGCGATTGTTGAGAGGTCACTATTAACAAACCGTTATATCACGGGTCCCAATAGTTTACCTTTTATTAAAAACAAAGTAGACATTCATACGATAAAATTCCTTATTGATAACTGGTCACATGATAACGAGTTCATTGATCACCTTTCACCAAGTGGCTTGCTGCTCGAATCAGCCTTAAAATCCACATACGAGGGAACTTTGTTCACAGATATAATGCACAACGGGTTAAAGTAGACTCATGGAAGGAGGGTTATCAATAAGAATTAACCACTATTTTGATTAAGACACTTTGTTTGTATTTTTAGTTTCTTTCTCTGTCGGGGGCTGCCTGATATCGTTTCTACTCTGTATGTTCAGTTCCTCTGTTTTTCTTTGTTTATGGTGGACCGATGGTTTTGAATTTGACTTGTTAGATAAGAACCTAACCTCGTCTTGACACGCTGAAAATGTTGGGCACATGACTGATTTACTCAAGCAGCCTATTTAGCGTTAAACGTTTGGATCCCACGATTAACAATTTACTACTAAGGGAGGAACCTATTGTTGAGATTGTTGTCTCGACTCTTGTTGTTGAAAATAAATTGTTAGTATATGACAGAGGAGTTCACTACTTGAAGTCCTAATCATACGTTGTATAGGATATCGTTGGGGCACAAATCTCGGCTTATGTGAGATGACAAGGTACATCCGCAATTACAACTGGACGCAGTCTTAGTTCAAGTATGACACGCGAGGTAGCTGGGTAGAGTCCTTATTCACATATGGTACAAAAAACAGTTAGACACAATCTTTGTTCGTATATTACGCAAAGTGGACATAACCTCTGATAATACTCATGGTAAGAGGTTGTTGTAGGCAACCTTTACTAGAGTAACACGTAGAGTTTCACTGAGTCAGACGCTATCTGAGTAGAACACTATTCAGTATGAATGACAGACTTCTTTCACACTTCGTCCAACATATCTTTAATAAAATATCCAAGTACCGTTAATAGCAAACTTCATTCAAGTTGCAAGCACAATAATTGATTGTTATCCGAGTTACATAGAGCACGCAGAGCCTTAATCGATAAGAATAAAATAAGTTAAGATAAGTTTAGAAAAAAAATAATTTCAACGATTAATCATTTAATCATAGCTGTCATTATTGTCCAAATGCTGATTTGCTGAGCACTAAATCTGAATTCATAGTCAATGGTGTTCTTGCCCAATGAGGAATTTCAAAAATAGTCAAAATTCATTTAATCATAGTATTCCCTGGTCTGCCTCAAGAATACTCAAAATTCATTTAATCATAGTATGCCCTACTCAGAGGCCGACCATAGTCCCAACACAAGGACAATTTTTTAATCTTTTGGCGATAATTACGAAAATTGTTCTCAGTGACAAAAAAAAACTTCCCTGTGGTTTTGTGAACTTTCATGGAGGGCATTTTTTTTAATTTGCTATAATAAGGAGAAAACCTACTTACATGAATCATGATCTGCGGTAACGTTTCTAGGGCTTACTCCAAAAATATTCACAATTTTGGACAATATTTTCATAATTTACATAGGCATTTTCCTTCCTAAATTTCCAGAATTTTAAAATTTTTATTTAACATTGATGAGGTTCTTTGAATAGTCATTATAGTCGTAAGAAAAAAAAAAATGATTCACGCCTCGTCAGGATTACTCAGCCTTACATCATAATTGGTACGTCATCCAAAATCGACAGACAACTAGGCAGACAGGAAAAACACTGTTTTTTTAAATAATCGATACAAATTGAGATTATGTAAAGCTCTCCGCTAAACTTTCTCGGTAATTTTTATGCAGATTACGTAGCGCGTTGGCGTTGGCAAAATAGAAGTCAATGTATTATCGACAAGAGTGATTAATCACCATCAAGCATAAATCTAGCTAGGAGATGAGCAATCCCTCTCACGGTTGCCCTCTTCTTGCCCATTGAGCATCCTTAAGGAAAACAGGAGTCACAATTGGCTTCAAGTTAATTTTAACATTCTACAACTTCGTAACCAGCTCGTTAATTAGAATACAAGCATATGGCAATTATTTTGATGGTCTCAAGCACCTCACCGAGCTTGTTCATTCTAATCAAGAAGGTTGGCTCGATAGCACTGTGATCAAGGTCCTCAACTGCTGTGACGGCCACCCATGGGGGCAATATAGCAGTCGAGCTAGGTCTGTCGGTCCCAACATTGGTCTCGGAACCAACCATCGAGTCAAGGACATTAGTAAAAGTAAAAACGAAAAATAATAGTAATAAAAATAATAAAAATATGAATAAACATGTGAGACACAAGAAAAATAAGGGGGCGAAGGGCCATGCATCTCACTGG